TGTGTGTGTGTGTGTGTGTAATGGTCACTTTTGAAGAATAAGAAAAATTATTTTGAAGATGGTAAGGAATAGAAGTAGTTATCTTGCTGTTCTTATATAAACTGTACCTCAGCGGAATGAAATAGAAGATAAAGGAAGTATCTGTCCTCTTGTAAAAATATTCCAACTATTATGATAGAGTTTAGATATGGCTACTTTGAAATCCCTAATAAATTAATGAATATAGGCATTGAGCATCTAGGCCTGGATTCTTCAATGGTTCAATTCAAGGAAAAGAAAGGAATGGGGGGGGTAATCTGTAGATTGAAGACTTAAAAGGCATATGAAATTTTAAAAAATGGGCAAGGCTAAACTATAATATGTAGGGATCCATATTTGGGTGATAAAACTACAAAAAAAAAAAAAGCAAGGAAGTGATTGTCCATAGCATCCATTTACACCAGGAAGGAGGGGCTGTGATGGAGATGAAGAACACTGTGAGGGGGTATTGGTCCTTTTGGTGTCTGGCAAAGTTCTGTTTCTTTCTCTCTAGGTGATAGTTTCATGTGTATTAACGTTATTAAGCTATGCCTTTGTTTAGCATGGTTTTCTGTTTCTGTGTTTTATTTTTAAAAGGGCAGTTAAAATGTGTTATCTATATTTTATCATTTATCATGTGCTATAGGGCATGCAGCCCAATTTTATTCTAACTGACAAAATAAATTTTAAGGCTAACACCTTCACATCACTGTGCATTTAGATACCAGAAAGGTGCCTGGAATCCCAGTTTCCTGCCTCTTTCCTAGAGGGACTTACTTCCAAACTCATTTTCTTCCCTACATTTTATTTTCATTACTCATTTTCCTCTTAAACTGTAGAGTCAGCAGTATATAGTATAGGCAGGCTTACAGGGTCTACTCTATTCAATATAGAGTTGAAAGTTGAGGACAGCTAACATATATTCAAATGGTTACTCCATGCCAGATATAGTTTAGTTCTAAGTGCCTGGTTCCACTGACTCTTTTAATCCTAACAACACTGAGGTGTAGGCACATGTGCATTTTACAGATAAAGAAACAAAGGCACCCAGGCCTGAGTGAGTATACTATGTGCCTAACATCTGTTATGCTACCTCTGATCATACTATTTGTCATCACATGCTATTTATGAAGCTGAGGATTTGATGATATAT